GAAAGTCTACAGCTGTAGAGTGACATTTTCAAGGATAACTGTTTTGAAGGATAACTTTGGCTTCAGTGTTGAAATGAGACTATGACAGGAAATATGGTAAAGGAAAGGAGAAAGATCAGCGAGGGGTGTGCATTAGTCAAGGTTCCCCAGAGAATCAGAAGCAATAAGAGGGGGTGTGTGTGTGTGCGTGTGCGCGCGCATCTGTGTGTTACATGGGGAGAGATATACTTTAAGGAATTGGCTCATGTAATTGTGGGGGATGTTAAGTCTGAAATCTGTAGGGCAGGCCAGCAGGCTGGAAATTCAAGTAAGAGCTGATGTTGCAGTCTTCATTCTGAAGTCCACAGGATAGGATAGGAAGGTTCGAAACTCAGTCAGGGTTTCCATGTTGCAATATTGAGGCCAAATTCCTTTTGAGGCAGAATATACTCCATGCCTCTTCTTAGCCTCTGGTGGTTTGCAGTCAACCTCTGGCATTTCTTGGGCTGTGGATGCATCAACCCAATTTCTGCCTTACATGGCATTCTCTCTGTGTGTATATCTGTGTCCAAACTTCCCCTTTGTATAAGGACACCAGTCATGCTGGAATAGGGTGGCCTTCATCTTACTAATTACATCTGCTGCAATGCTATTTCCAAGTAAGGTCATATTCCAAGGTACTAGGGACTAGGATTTTAATACGTAAATTTTGGGAGGTGCAAGTCAACGTATAACACAGGGTAACAGCTGTGAATATGAAGTAGTTGGATTTGGCCAGAGAATTTTAAAAAGAGAGTCTGGGATACTCCAATGTTTTTCACCTGAACAAAAATAGTTAAATTGCCATTTACTAAGCTGGTGAAGACTGCAAGAGGAGAAAGTTTGGAGAAGAATAACAAGGGTTCAGTTTGTATATAAGTTTCAAAGCACCATATCCGGCGGGGCATGGTGGCTCATGCCTATAATCCCACCACTTTGGGAGGCCAAGGTGGGAGGATCACATGAGATCAGAAGTTCGAGATCAGCCTGACCAACACGGTGAAACCCCATATCTACTAAAAATACAAAAATTAGCTGGGCAAGGTGGCGCATGCCTGTAATCCCAGCTACTAAGGAGGCTGAGGCAGGAGAATCGCTTGAACCCAGGAGGTGGAGGTTGCAGTGCGCTGAGATCACACCACTGTACTCCAGCCTGGGTGGCAGAATAAGACTCTGGAAAAAAAAAACCAAAAACAAAACAAAACAAAACAAAACAAAAAACACCATCTCCTACCCTAAGTCCCTTACTTGGCTAGTAATGCCTGTGGCGAGAACAGAGGACCCAGTTATCTGCAGGAGCAGGGCAGACAGAGCCTTTGAGTGTTTCCCTTCCCTAGACATACAAGTCATCTAAGTAGCTCTCATGTCTGGCCCACTCCACTTCCCTTTCCAGCCCCTCCTCCCTCGTTATCATTGCCTCCATTACACATCTCTTTATGACATCTCCACATAAGCCCTAGGCATAAATACATTTTAAAAGTTATTAAAAGAATGGAACAAGTCAGAACTGATTATGAGCTGCAGAAATATTCTTATTAAGAGTTGTATGTTCACGAGGAACATTGAGATTCTGAAGGAACCTTAATAATGGAAACATATTATGAAGAGTTGGGTTCACCTCAAATTAATATTAACCTGTGACTCTAGTAGCCAGGATCTGTTATTTATATTGCCACCTTTCAATCTGCATAATTTATGGTCAGTGCAGGGGAAGATTTGCCTTTATAGTTTTCACTGTCAGCTAGATTCTTCGATCCAAGTGGAAGAATTACATTTCCAAATAACAGAAAGTTAAAATGTATAATATGACTAAACTACAACAAAGTGGAACTTAAAAATAAAGTCCAGGAGAAAATAGGTCATTTCATAAAACTAACTTCAACTTCTGTTAGAACCGTGACTTTAATTCTAAAGGCTCTCAGAAAGTTTTGGTACAGGAGTCCTTTATTCTGCTATGGATGTTTCCTTTATGAAATGCTGCTGTTTAAGCATGAAAGAAAACCTTCCATTTGAAGTGGGCAAGACATTGTTCATATGGATTTAGGCTGTGGCGATTTTCGTTTGCATAAAGGCACTCTGGTTGCTGTTCAGTAGTCAACATGATTGTTTAGGGATGTGGTGGTTCAATCAGAATAAAGTATTCCCCAAATAATCTGGATCCCTAAGGGCCAGTGCTTCCAGGAATACGGTCCTGATAATCCAATCTGTGGCTAATATTATTGAAAGCCTTAGACTGTCAAATAGAATCTGGCCTAAAAGGAGGACAAGGCTCTCTGAAGTGCAGCCCTTCGGGCAGCTGAAGGTCTTTTCTCAGATCGAATTTTTTGGCTACATTGATACTCTTCGGCTCCGTCCTTGCCAGAAGTGCGGAAGGATTCCTTCCAACTTGCTTGATTCACCCTCAGCCCCTCCCCTAACTGGAGAAGCCGCTGGGTTCCGCGAGCCAGACTCGCGGTGGCTTCAGAGAAGCAGGCGAGCAGGCGGCTGATCCGGAGGCCAGTGTGGGGCCGGCAAGCGGTGACTGTCTCCAGAGGAGCAAAAGAGCTGAGTCTTGTTTTTCTTGGATCAGGTTTGGGACTTTTATTCTGTCTGACCATTTCCACCACTTCCCTCACAAGAGTCTCTGTCTCAAAGCACAGGACCGAAGCAAAATGCCTAATGAAGCGTGCCCAAGGAAGGGGCAGGGGCGTGCAAGTGACTCGGGAAGAAGAACTGGGGTGAGGAGAGAAACGAGGTTACGAGTTCGCACGTTCTCACAAAACCATTTGAAAACAGGAGCTGGAGACGCCAAATTCTGGAACCCACGAAAGGCCTTTGGAGCTCGCTCCGGCTCCTCGAAGTTGGGCGTGCGTCGCAGAAGAGTGCTGGGCGCTCCCTTTCAGCATTTTCGGCTTTGTTCAAGCCCTTGCGTAGGGTCGGGAAGGTCGTGGGTGGGCTCATCAGGCTTTAGGTCTCCAGGAACTCGGCTGGTCCTCTCTCGACTTCTTAGCGTAGGGTCCCGCCGGCCCGGGCGCCCTTGGCCGCCGAAGTTCCCGCCCTAGCCGAGGGCCCTAGCTCCGGAGCGGGGCGCAGACGCGGCCGCTGCCCCGCAGTCCCCCGCAGGTGCCTCCCAGGACCAGCTGCCGGGCGGAGGCCGAGCACGCTTGGCGGCAGCTGAGCCTCCACACCCCAAGCCCCAGCCCGGAGGGTCGCGTCCCCTGTCCTCCTCCCGGGCGAGACGAACGCTCAGCAGCTCATTCCCAGGGCGCCAAGACCGATTTCCAAGTCGCCCACTTTACCCCCTCCAGGAAGCTGTTGGCGCTTCTCCAGAAGCCTCCTCGGCTCCCAGCTCCAGCCCCTAAAATAAAAGCACCTTGCCAGAGAGCGGGGGAGGGGAGCAGCTGAACGGGGAGAATGAAAATACTAGGAGAACGACCCCATTCTCCAGGAAAAGGTAATGAGGGGAAGTGAAACAGTGTGAACTTACTCGGAAATGCAAACCGAGTTCAACTCACCCGGGAGCAAACAAACGACAGAAAGACAAATCAGCCACCGCACTCGCGGCTTTCCCAGAAAAGGCCTCATGAATGAGAATGGGTTGCTAGGTTTCCTTCCCTCTCTCCTGACAATCGCTTCCCACAAGACTTCCACCGCCGAAAGAAAACAGGCCGGGCCTGGTGACTGCGGAGTGAGGGAACCGCGCCAGGCCCACGAGGCCGCCCGCGACCGCTCCCGCCTTCAGGACCCTGGAGAGCGGCCGCCGCGCCCCTGGGACCCACGCCCAACCCAGAGCACCCGCGCTCGCCTCCCGCGCCTCACCACCCCGGCACTTTATTCGCTGCTTCCCGCCTCCACCTTCATTTTTTTTGGCAACCACCGCTCTTGTTTTTCACAGACAGATTAAATTGTTTTTTGTTTGGCATGAGGGGGTGTTTGGATTGGCCGAGCTACATTCCGATTTGTAACTACACTAAACGTCAGTGCACCTCTAAGAAACTAAGAACGTCTCAAAGATGAGAGCCTGAACGAGGCAGGTGACCTTAAAAAGCCACTGAGTTCAATCCCTTTATAAATGAACTCAGAAAATAAAGAGCCTTTCCCAGTATTAGCCATTAAGTTCGTGGCAAGGTTGAGTGTAGAACCGTGGGTTTCTGACTTCTAAACTAATGCTTCCCTCCACTTTCCAAGGGGGGGAAAAAAAAACCTCATCGCTTAGGTCGCCTAAGCAACAAGTGGAAGGTGGAAAGGCCGGTGTTCCCAAGAATAAGAAGGACACACGGAGTTTGGAAAGGGGGTCCGTAGAGGGTTCACTTGTAGTAGCAGCCCTAACATGGAATCCCGGTGTTCCCTGCTCCACGTAACATAACCACAGCCGCAATGGCCAGTCACTTTCTCCAACCAGCCTGTGAAGGGTCTGGGGCCCTTCAGCCACCTCCAGCCAGTATCTGGACCTTCCGTAGGCAACAATCCCAATAGAATCTAGTAGCCAAGGCGAACTCTGTGCCTCTGGCAGGCAGAACCCTGGGCACTTAGGGAGATGCGAAAGGGCAGGGGGAACAAGGGAAGACCAGAGAAGGGAGGGGAAGAGCAACAGTTACAAAAGTGAACTAAGATTTTCATCCAAATTCTGAAGAACCAGGAGATGTGAACACAGACCCTTCTGCATAGCGCATGTCACATTCAGCGCACCTAAGAGTCCCCTGGGAATGTTACTATGCAGATTCCGATGCAGTAGTCTGGGTGGGGCTCAAGAGTATTTCTAACAAGCTCCTAGGTGTTGGCGAAGCTGCTGGCCCACGGACCACACTTCAAGTAGCACGGAGTTAGGAAAAACGGGAGTGGGAGGGGAAAGAATCTAACTGTAGGCCTTTCCTTTTGCTTTCACCGACCTTCTCTTGCACCCCCAAAGTAACGCCTCAAAACTCTGTAGTAAAGAGCCCCGTCTAAGCGGCCGGACACCACATTAACCGTATGCTGGTTTTGTTTCTCCCTCCCTGCCCCAGCCCTTCCCGCCTGCACAGCTCCCAGACTCGCCTGCCGCCCCGAAGCTGCTCGGCCTCCTTTATAGCCCGCTTTCCAGCCTCACAAGGTTCTTCTCTCACCTTCTCCGGCGACCCCCTCCCGAAGCTCCCCGGAGGCGCCCGAACTTCTCCCCCCTGCTTCCCGCCCTGCCGGCCGCCCGGCTCTCGCGGGGGCACGAGGAGCTGCCAGGCCGCCTCTCGCTCCTGCTCGGGGCGGCGCTGGCACTGCCCGGCCGACCCTCGGGGGGTCGTCTGCTGAGGCCCGCCCGTCCGGTCGGCAAGCCCAGGGAAGAAGACGCCACCGCTGGGCAGAGCTCGCCCATGCCGGTGAGTATCGTGGTCTCCATTACGCCCCACACCCAGCCTCCCCAGGACACCAGCCTCTCCCGATTCTTCCTAACCCCGACTGACCCGCTCCGCCCGGGCCAGCAGCGGGGAAAGGCGGCAAGGTCGGTTAGGCCGGGACAAGGCTGGGCAAGTCATAGGACGGGACACTGGAGGCTCCCGGGACACCGCCCCTCCTCGCGGGAAGACACTCCAAGCTACTTTTTCCTGGGCCATTTCCTTTCCAGGGTCCAAGAAAACGGGAGGGAGCCCTCGCTCTTCCCTTTCAAACTGCCTTTCAAACTCCTGGCGTGTCGCTCTCCTCCCCCTACTCCGAGCCTCCCCCGGACGCGCCTCCGCCGGCTCCCCGCGCTCGCTCTCCCACTCCCCTGCCCTCTCGGCAGGCAAGGGAGGAAATGACGTGATGTTATTTTTGTGTCAGGTCAGTTTCCAGCTTCAGCTTAGCCCTCCGGGCTCCAGGGAAGTACCCCCGCGGCCCCACCGGGTCCCACTCTCGAGGGGACGCTGCGGGCTACGGGGACACGCGGTGTTGCGAGTCTGGAGAGCTGGGCGGCTCGGTTCCCCCTCCCGCTGCCCCCTGGTCTACTCCTCTCCCCGGACTCGGGAGTCCCTGGAGAAGGGGACGCGGAGGGCGACTGCCGAGGGTCTCAGCGGGATCCGGAGTCAGGGGTTAGTTCCTCCCCTTATCCCCAGCTCGTTTGCCGAGTGGGGCCTCCGCGCTCTGGCTAGCTGGGAGGGGGCGAGGGCCGCTTTCCAGGGCGGGAAGACCGGAGGCCGAGGCTGCGCCGGGGAGGGGCGGGAACAGAGCTCAGAGAGGCGCCCCGGGCCGCGGAGAAGGTAGGGGGCTGCCCTCTGTAGGCGGGCAGTCCACAGACTCGAGGCTCTGGGGACCAAGCACCCGCTCCGCGCCAGTCGCCCAACCCCGCTCCTCCCTCCCGCTCCCTTCATTCACAAGGTCCGAGCACGCAGTCCAGCACACTCGAGTCTCGCTCTGCCCCCGCGCGCCGAGGGGAGGCGATGACACAGAGGGCTTCGAGGACGCCCTCCACGCGCGCCTGGCTTCGTATCCACACTCTTGGGACTTGCTAATCCAGGGCTGGAGCAGTGAGGCTGCGGCCGGGGTGGAGGTCGCGCGCCGCGTGGGACCTCGGGGGTACCCCTAGCGCCCGCCGCGGTGGAGTGCGCCGCCGCTGGAGGGAGGCGAGACGTGGGATTGCCCGGCCGGGTAAAGGGAGTGAGGGGGCGGGGAGGAGGCAGAGCAAGGGGAGGAAGAGGCCGGGAAAAAAGGGCTACAGCAAAGACCGAGAGCCGGAGAAAGGGGAAAGGCGCCGGGAGCAATCGCAGACGTAGAGAGGGCAGCCCTCGGCGCTGCAATAGAAAGAAGGCACCCGCCGGACGCATGCGCACGGCGGACGGAGGCGAGCCGGCCGGGGCTTCCCCTCCGGCTGGCGGGGTGGACAGTGGGCTCGTGAGTATCCTGGTTCCTCGACCTCTCTTTCTTCCTCTCGGGCTCTCCCTGAGGCTTCGTGCTGGAAAGTGGCCGAGGCTAGGAGGGGCGCGCAGCGCGTCCGAACCTCGGGGTGTCGCCGTTGCTGCTGGGCGGGAGCGGGTGCGAGTCGGGGGTTACTGCCGGTAGCTTTAGTGCGTGTTTGGGGGAGTGCGGGTGCGTCTGCGTCCGAAGAGGGGCTTCGCGCCACCAGGATCAGTATGTCCCGGGCCTGCCAGGGCGTCCGCGATTCCACCTCTGCGGCCTCGGGTCGGTGACTTGGTGGGGAACGCAGAAGTCTAGACTTTAGACCCTAGAAATCGCACTGATCACCCGAAGCGTATTTTGGAAAGTCCAGGCGGGTGGAAGCATCGGCGTTCTCACCGTGTAGGGAGAGGATAAGGCAGGGGCCAGGCGCCCGGGGCGGGTGGTTTGAGCGCCGCTGGGAAGGGAAAGGAGATAGAGCCTCCTGGAATCAGAGCGCCTGCTTTTAGGAGAAGTGCAACCAGGGCAGGGGCACCGAGGGGCAGGGTGAGGAAGTGGGCGCCCGGCGCATGGACCCCAGAGGACCGACTAGGTGTGGGCGTTCACTCGGAGCCTCTGTTCATGCTCTTGAAAACCGAATGAACAGAGAAGTGCCCTCCACCCTTCGCCTGCGCCAAGGCAGTTAACGTGCAGGCGCCGCCGGGATTTTCCTGGAACAAATCCGGGCACTTGATCTTCCGCACCCTCGGAGCTGCCCTGGGAAGTCGGAACAAGTCTGGGCGCCCGGAATGCGGACTGGAAAGCAGGGAGCGGAGGGCGGGAGACTGGGGGCGGGAGGTGGGGGTGCGGGCTGCTGCTGGGGACCGAGGTGCGCGTTGGAGGGGAGGGTCTGTGTGCGCGGGTATCCTCCAGCGTTGGGGGAGCGGACGGGCCAGGGGCCTCTAGGGAAGCGGCGCTCCGGGACAAGGGCGGCTTTCCAGTCTCTGTGTGCGCCGCGATCCCCCCACCCAGCTCTGGCGGAGGAATGGGTGGGGGAGGAGCCCTGAAAGATGCAACTAGCTAAGAGTAGGGTGGGCGTTTTGGGGAAAGGTTTGCGTGCGCTGCGGCCCTCCGGCTGCTAGAGAAGTGGGCGAGAGAGAGTGGGCGCCGGGAGGGGGTCTATAGGCGCCGCGACCTCCCCCACCTCCCTCCACGCTTGTGGGGGAGTGAGTGGGGAAGGGGCATTGGGAGAGGCGGCGCGCCGACTCTGAGTTGCAACGTGAGCTTCCCGGACTTGACAGCATCAAAGGAAAACCCTGGCGAGCAGCCAGGGCCAGCGAGCGACCCCAGCAGCAGGGACGAGGCGGTGCAGAGCGCTCGCGGACAGGCTAGGGGGATCCCTGGGGAGCAGCTGCTGCTCACGGACCACCGGCGATGCACGGGGTGGAGAAGTGAACGTGGTCGACAGGATTTCTATCCGGAAGGTGGACAGCGCTACAGGGGAATCTCCTCGATTCCTGTCCGTCTCATAATTTGGCAAAAGCTCGCGCCACTGCCCTCGACCTGGGCGACAGAGCGAGACTCCATCTCAAAAAAAAAAAAAAAAAAAAAAAAAAATTAGCAAAAGCCTGTCGCTCTTTGTCGACCTCCCCACATTCCCCAGTCACCTGGCTGGGGTTTGTTGGTATCAAAACCCCAGCCTTGGTGCCCTCGGTGTCGGCAGGACCCTCGCCCACTGGCTAACGGAATCAGGCACCTGCACGCGGGCTCCTCATTGCCCTGGCGCGTGGGGAGCAAGGGGCTTCTGCATCAGTCTCCATCCACCCTGCTTGGGACACAGGTGGCAGGGCCCTGGAGTGGCTTGGCTTCATTTCACTCCTAGTGCCTCCACACCGTGGAATTGACTAAACAAATATTCAAGTTCGCAAAACGGTCTGACTTCCTCCCCAAACTTGACAAGGACATTTCTAGTAAAATTACTCTGTAAGTTTTTTTGGCACAACCACAGTTTGCAATTTACTGTTTTAAAATATTTTTTTCCTCAAAACCTAATTTTCCATTGGGTCTCATCCTGTTTATCTTCTGTTCATTAAGTGACATCTTTCTTTTTTTCTTTGAGACTCAGTTTCGATCTTGTTGCCCAGGCTGGAGTGCAATGGTGCGATCTTAGCTCACTGCAACCTCTGCCTCCTGGGTTCAAGCGATTCTCCTGCCTCAGCCTCCCGAGTAGCTGGGGCTGGGATTACAGGCAAGCGCCACCACTCCTGGCTAATTTTTTGTATTTAGTAGAGACGGGATTTCTCCGTGTTGGTCAGGCTGCTCTCGAACTCCCGACCTCAGGTGATCCACCTTCCTCGGCTTCACAAAGTGCTGGGATTACAGGAGTGAGCCACCGTGCCTGGCCATAAGTGACATCTTTTTTTTTTTTTTTTTTTTTTTTTTTTTACCACGTATTAGTAACGCATATGAGAGGCAATGTCGCCAAACCAGTGAGAGTCTTGAGCTCTGTAACCGGGTTCAGATCCCAACCTAACTGCATAACCTTGGACTAGCTACTTATCCTCTCTAGGCGTTAGTTTTATCATCTGTGAAATGGGGATAATAAGAGTACCTACCTCGGCCGGGCGTGGTGGCTCACTCCTGTAATCCCAGCACTTTGAGAGACCGAGGCAGGGGGATCACCTGAGGTCAGGAGTTCGAGACCAGCCTGGCCAACATGGTGAAACCCCGTCTCTACTAAAAATACAAAAAATTAGCTGGGTGTTGTTGCTGGCGCCTGTAATCTCAGCTACTCTGGAGCCTGAGGCAGGAGAATTGCTTGAACTCGGGAGGCAGAGGTTGTAGTGAGCCGAGATGGAGGAGCCACTGCACTCCAGCCTGGGCAACAAGAGCAAAACTGTCTCAAAAAAAAAAAAAAAAAAAAAAGGAGTACCTACCTAACGGGCTAGCTGACAGCATTTAGTACATTAATAACATAGAGCTCTTATAACGGGATGGCACATACCAAGCAAAAGCTGTTATTACTATTATTATATTGAGGCTAAATTGGCTAGACTTCAAACTATAAATAAGATCAGTAACAGAATGCATATTTTTGTATACTATAAAGAGTATGCATAATGAAACACATGTCCATCATCAAAATTAGAAAAAGTCTTTTTTTTTTTTTTTTTTTTTTGAGAGTGCGTTTTCTCACTCTCTCACCCAGGCTGGAGTGCAGTGGCACGACTGAGGCCCACTGCACTCTTGAACTCCCAGATTCAAGGGATCCTCCCACCTCAGCCTCAGGAGTAGCTGAGACTTAAGGTACCTGCCACTGCACCTGGTTAATTTTTTAATTTTTATAGAGACAGAATCTCACTGTGTTGCCAGGGCTGATGAACAGCCAGTTTAAGATAATCTGAAAATGTACCTTAGGAGCTTGAAGTGCTAACTTGTTTGAGATCACTGTAAATGTTTTAGCTGAAACATCCCTTATATCAGAAATAGAGAAAGATGAAAATCAGGTTACTTATTCTACCTCCTTCGTTTT